TCAAATAGTACTAATTTGAATAACTTAGATGATACAAATCCATATAATTTGAATATAAGCAATATGAATCTATCGGAAGATCCTTCCATACATAAAAGCCTGCCCACGATGGCTGACGGGGCTTCTTTTCGGGGTCAAGCAGGGGAAAATAATAACGATCAACGGTTACTGAATGAAATGACTAATACTAGAGGCTTCAAAATTGCTGCCTTGAATATCAATAGTTTACCAGCACATATTGATGAATTAAAGGCATATATGTGCTCTGGGTGCATAGACATTCTCGCAGTTAATGAAACCCGTTTAGATAAATCTTTTCCAAATAATTTAGTTTCCATACCAGGCTATAATTTAGAAAGAAGGGATAGAAATAGAAATGGGGGAGGCATTGCATTTTATATAAGAGATGTTATTAATTATGAGCTTATGCATGAATTAGCTCAAGATCCACTTGAGTGGCTATGTATCAAGGTACAAAAACCTAAATCCAAACCATTCATCATTGGTACTTGGTACAGACCCCCTTCTTCAACCACTGACATTATGAATAACCTCGAATTATTAATTAAGAAGTTAGAAGTACTGGATATTGAAATTAATATTATAGGTGATTTTAACTTTGATGTAGGTGATTCTCCCCCTAATGCACCTACTAAGCATTTCTTGGATCTCTGCAACTTATACCAGTACCATAAACTTATTAAAGAGCCTACTCGAATAACCGAACGCTCTTCAACTACAATTGATTTATTTATTACTAATAATCCAACAATGTATGTGAAATCTGGAGTTTGCCACATTGGTATTAGTGACCATTCACTTGTATATGCAATTCGTAAACTTTGTGTATCTAGAAAGGATCCTAGAATAATTCGCAGCAGGCAATTTAGAGATTTCAACGCAAATTCATTTAGATATGATCTCAGCTTAGCCCCGTGGCATATCATTGAGGAGTACGAAAATTATCCAAATCTTGCTTGGGATGCTTGGAAAACTACCTGGTGTCCCAAAAAAAAGTACTCCGGTTTGATTCGTAATAACTTCTAAACAAGTAAAGCTTTTAAAGAGAAATAACTTGCATCAAATAGAGGAAGGGCTAGCTTAGATTTTGATATATTACAGTTGCATTTCACTTAAAAATTCACGGAGATATTAATGTTTAAAATCGGGAGCATATTTCTGGATGTGTCTGAAATATGCAAAAAACGGCGTATCAAATATTGACAAATATTAATCAAGATTTGCCCGACTAAAACATGCACTATTACCAGTAAATAAATGACACTTAACAAATTGTTTATTATGAAACAAAGTATTATTATATACAAAATACAAGCAAGATTTATTCGTCCGAAATCCGCGTGTGTTCCTAGCACGAATACGTTTCCTTATTTCATGAGACCACTGCATCGCGAAGAATCGTCATGGATCGTTCGTAGTTCGCAATTAGGGCATGCTGTCACAATGGAATTGTGAAGCTCTTCTAACTTCTGCAACGTTTTAAAATCTTGTTAAGAACACCCAAACTCTTTTGCCTTTTCTTAATCTTGGCAAGTTCAGAATAAACTGAGAATGAAACACAATCAGACCATACAACACCATAAGAAATAACAAGCAACTCCCCAGAGACATCCAACAATTTTTGGAACAAAACGTAACAAAATAGTAGCGTTGATACTGTGATGTGTATTTGCAAAAATCAATATTATTTCCTTCATTAATTAGAATAATATTCATCCTGCTCTAACCGAGAAATAATCAACTCTGTTTTGAACCCATGAAAAACAAAAAAAAATAGTAAGGCTATTTAAGAAAAATTTAAGCGCCTGCCTTGCATGGTCTTTCATGTACCTTTAAGTTTGTAAAACCTATTAAATACTTGCACAATTTCAAACGTTCATATTTCTGGAAACAATGAGCTAAGACTTACATATAAGATGTCTAAATCTACACCATATCTTTTACAAACCCTAACGACAATTCGCTGAAATACAAGTTAGCCTGATATGTCATTAAGCAAACATACGCTGGAGTTCATATTTGATATGCCGATTTTCGCTAAGTTTAGACACATCCCAAAATATGGTCCCGTTTTTGAACATTAATATCTCCGTGAATTTTTAAGTAAATTACAACTGTAATATATCAAAATCTAAGTTCGTCCTTCCTCTATTTAATGCAAGTTATTTCTGTTTGGTAGCTTTACTTGTTTAGAAGTTATTATAAATCAAACCGGAGTACTTTTTTTTGGGACACCCGGTATATTCCTGAAAATATCTGATATTCATGCACCCAAACGGAGTAGAAAAATTTGAAATAAGCACTCTCCTTGGTTAACCCCAGAACTTAAGAAATTGATGTTTGAGAGGGACCGACTGAAAAGAATAGCAAGTAAACATGATACTGAACATAACTGGTCCAAGTATAGAAGTGCACGAAATAATGTTAACAGATGTATACAAGATGCCAAAGGTTGCATATTATCACAATTACTTTAGAAATAGCTTTGGTGATATTAAAAACACATGGAAAGGTGTGAATGAGCTTATGGGCAAAAATTCCCATACCAATGTAATAAGCAGCATTAAAGTTGGTGACTGTAACTACACTTCTTCAAGTGACATAAGTAATGCTTTTAATAACCACTTTACTCAAATTGGACCTAAATTAGTTAATAATGTTCCCACCTCAAACTCTAACTTTGAGCAATATATTACCACTACCGATAATAATTTTTCTATCACTGAGACAAATAATACAATTGTGTACAACTTGATCCAATCACTTCCTGTAAATAAATCTACTGGTTTAGATGAGATATCATGCAAGCTATTAAAAGAAGCTTCGCCAATTGTTTTTTCATCCTTAACCCATATAATAAACTTATCCATTAGAAATGGGGTATTTCCCAATGATTGGAAAGGAGCTAGGGTAATGCCAATATATAAAGAAGACACAAAATCCGATCCTGATAATTATAGACCAATATCTATCTTACCGATTGATTGTCAGTAAAATAATTGAAAAGATCGTTTTCTCTCAGTTTTATGGATACCTTAATCGATAATAATCAATTGGCTAGTTCCCAACATGGATTTAGACCATTACATTCAACACTTACGACTCTTCTAATATCTACCAACAATTGGTACCAAAATATTGATAAAGGGCTATTTAATGGCATTCTATTACTAGACTTAAAAAAAGCCTTTGATACCGTGAACCATCCAATTTTATTAAAGAAGCTTGAGATGTATGGCGTAGATCCTAATTCTATCAATTGGTTTAGATCATATCTAACAGGTCGCAAACAATGCACAAGCATTAATGGCACATTGTCTAGCTTGCTACCTGTTACTTGTGGGGTTCCTCAGGGATCGGTGCTTGGGCCCTTATTGTTTCTAATTTATATTAATGATCTTCAAGCCTGCCTCTCTACATCGTCCCTTATGATGTAGCTGATGATACATGTTTAACTGTTAGTTCTAACGATCCAAAAGACCTAGAGCTTAAACTAAATAACGAACTTAGAAAGTGCAAACGTGGCTAAGGGCTAATAAGCTTACTCTAAATTACTTACTCTAAAGAAGACAAAATTCTTAATCCTAGGAAGCCAAGCGAGATTAAGTAATCTGAATTATCACTTTAACATTCAAATTAATGGACAGTCTATAGAAAGAATGTATTCTTATAGATACTTGGGACTTGAAATTGATGAATCTTTAAATTGGAAAGTACATATTGAAACCATTTGTAAGAAGATAAGTGCAAGTCTTGGGGCGTTAAAGCGGATTCGAACTTTTGTACCCCAAAACACATTGATCCTGATGTATAAAGCCCTAGTGTTACCTTACTCAGACTATTGTAGTGAGGTTTGGGGCTGCCTAGGTAAAACTCTCTCTGAAAAACTCCAAAAACTGCAAAACAGAGCCGGTAGGATAATAACCTTCTCCGATTATGATGTAAGATCAGCTGATATACTACACAGTCTTGGTTTGGAAACTCTTGACCAACGTCGTGCTAAACAGCTCGCAACAAGTATATATAAAGCAGTGAATAATTTATATCCCAACGAGCTTAATACTATTTTTGAACCTACCTCGCAAGTCCACTCTCACAATCTTAGAGGTAGTTCGCACAGTATGTTCACCCCTAGACCCAGAATGGAGGCTGGTAAACGGAGCTTCGGCTACCGTGGGGCTATGTTATGGAACGATCTTCCGGATGAAATAAGAAGTCAGGCTTCAATACATCTTTTCAAAAATAAACTTTCTAACTTTCAAATTGAATACTAAGATTAAGTAGTTGTAAATATGATAGGATTGTATATATGTTTAACTAATTTCTTTTGTTTTTGTATTTTTACATGGCTCCTTGGAAGAGCACTTTAGTGAAAGGACACCATGTTACCTATTTATGTATTTTTTAATAAAGCTTCATTGATTGATTGATTGATACCAGTTGATGGTGCGCTGGACTATCTTGTCAACATCGGCCTTAATTCTAATCATCTGCAACATGGCAGGCGCCATGTCAAATATGGTATCCAACTTTTCGTCGCTAATGATTTTCCGAGCAGCATCCACACAAGGAGCTTGTAATAACTTGCCAAGCGATTCCCTCATCTCAAAATCAGGAATATCATCAAGTTCCCGATTCATTAACAATCGCATCGTAACATGAACTTGAGAGACAATTGACACCTGGACCACCATGTACAAGTGCCATGGCGAAAATCTGTCCGGCCATGAAGTACTCCCGTTCTTCTAAGCAGGTTGCATTTAACGACAGGAACTTTGACGATATTCCACCGAAGAAAAGTCGCGAATTAACCAGCCATTCTGTGATAAGGGTAAAGAATTCCCTCGCTGGACCTCCCATGTCCACAGCTCCTTCTGACTGACCGATGTCGTCCGTAAACTTTACTGATAACTTATTCACAGGACTAAACGACTTTCTGTTCATCGCCCTTTTGGTACCTTCCCATATATGATTTCGACTTAAGTTGAAGTGAAGATTGAAATTTGATCATAGGACGTTGCTTCTGCAAGATTCGATAGTATTTCCTTCAATGTGATGTTCTCCTCAATGTCGTCATGAATAATGTCATCTACATTAGTTTCTACTATATCTTCCATGAGATCGTATTCAAACACTTCGGAATTTATTTCGTCGAACAGCAACGTGGCGTAAATTTCGTCTAAATCGCATACAACTTTGTTAGATGATTTGGGTGTGCTCAGTACATCCAGAACTTCACTACTTGTAGATGCTTGTGTACTTTCTGCGGATATATAGTCAGTCTCACAACTACAATTTAAAGAAAAATACTTTTACGTCAAATTTGGTGTTCCGTACGTTGCCGGCAACATTGGAATATTGTCACGCAATGCCATTGTTGATCGGCAGATTGCTCTAGCAAATTGCAACCGACGCGAACAAATTGCAATTTTTACATGTTGACAATTTGTCGATCGAGAGTTCGCGTCGAGAGGTCGATGCCAAGCATTTTATTGGATTGTTTTGTACTAGTAGCCATTCAGACTTTATTTATAAACTTTTGAATTTTGCATTTGACGGTTTAATACTGTTACTTTAGTATGTAAAAATTGCAATTTGTTCACGTCTGTTGCAATTTGCTAGAGCAATCAGTCGATCAATATAATTTGCAATATTGCGTGACAAAACTCTGCGGAAAGATGCAACTGCGTAATACATTAACCTTTCTGGCCACTAGCAAACCAACGAAAAATTACTAGAGCGATGCTTTCACAATCGTGTACAGATTAATTTTAGTTTTCCTCAGCACTAAAAATTTAACAGAATGTTATAAAATGATGCAACTATATACGCGTGGCTGTGAGGTTTTAAACAGGGTTCGTACATGTGAGGAAGAGTGAAATTCAAGGACATATACAAGGACTAAATACTGAAGAAAAGGGGTTAGAAATCAGATACAAACATGCAAAATCAAATCTCAGAACGTTTATTTATTTGATTTGTGAAATTGTGATCATTATATCTGATTATCATTATACATTGTATGTACACCTAATTGGACTGAATTTCAATATGTCAACCCTATATTTTAACATATGTTTCAATCAACATATGAAACCAGAACCACATCATGCAGATATTAAACTGGCCCTCACTAAAAGTCAAAACATTAATTAAAAATTTCGTCTATTTTCAATTTAGTTGATCATTTTTTTATATAACCTTAATATAGTACCAACTGTAGCTATATTACTGATTTGCTGTCACAATTTAAATCATGTGAG